ATGACCTCGACATCCTGCCGTCGTTGACGCCCAAGGAAGAGAAGGCTCGGCTCAAGCCGAGGCATCCGTTCGCCGACCGTCAACTATCCACCCTGTTCGCTTCAGAGTGGTATCGGTCGGACTCGACACGCTGGCGCGGCAAGATGGCCACCGACCTGGGCGCCAGGTATTGGGTGCCGCTCGTGTGCATGTTCCACGGAAACCGGGTGCGCGAGGTTCTACAGCTCGTCGCCTCAGACGTTGCGGTGCGCCAAGGCGTGTCCGTCGTCCAGTTCCGCGAGGAGATGGATGGTGAACAGGCTGCGATGCTTGCCGCTGGCGTGGTGCGTAGCCTGAAGAACGACCCTAGCCGGCGCGTGGTGCCCTTGCATCCCACGCTTTTAGCCTTGGGCTTCGCCGAGTTCGTCGAACAGCGTCGCACTCAAGCAGGCGCGAACGCGCTGCTCTTCCCATCAAGCATCCCCAAGCCGGGCGGCAAAGCTCCGATGCTGGGTCGGTCTTACGAGCAAGCGTTTCTTCGCTATGCCCGCGACGGCTTAGCCTTTGGGCGCGGCTTCGGCAACCACAGCTTCCGCCACCAGCTCGAAGACCGCATCCGCGATGCACAGCTTCCGGGACACCAGTGGCCGGCTGGCATGGCGCAGGCCTACACCGGACGCAAGCGCGTGCGCAAGCAGGACGTGGGGCGTATCGAGGTCGAGGGTAGCGAGTCGGCCTATGGGCGGGGCCACAGCCCCGCAACGCTGCGCGACTACCTCAAGACCTTGGCGTTCGACGCTGTCACGTTGCCACCGCCATATGCGTCGTGGCTGCGCGAGGAATAAAGCTCGGGCCATACACAGAGATGGCGTCGCCTTGACGTCTTCTTGCCAGAGCCTACATGCACTCCCTCACCCGCCTCGAAAGCCCCTCCTCCCTACAGAGCGAAGCATCCGCAGCCCCCATCCCCGTCGATGATTTCTTTCCCTCCGGCCGTTTCGCCAAGGTTCCCGACGAAGCGTTGGGGCAGCTCGCCTTCGAAGGTCCGCACCGGATGGAGAACAGCGAGTTCCGCCTGTTCGTCGCGCTATGCCGCTATCGCGGGAAGGCGCACGTCGTCAATCCGAGCCAGGAAACCCTGGCCAAGAGGACCGGGATGGCTCGGAACAACGTTTCCCGTGCCGCCCACGGCCTTCAGGACAAAGGCTGGGTGCGGCTGCACCACAGGAACGGCAACCCGCGCAAGGCCATCGTGAACTACGAGCTGCTCATCCCGGTGCCTGGCGTGACCGTCGTTGTCCCTCCCAAGGCGAAGAAGGCACGGGCCATTGCTTCCGCGGACGTAAGCAGCCCCATCGCTGCTCCCCTGGGGCCGCTCTTCCCGTCAAAGCCCTTGCCTGACTACCTGCTTCTGCCAGACAGCAGGGACTTCGATGCAATGGACGACGCCACGGTCTACGACGGCGGCGCGTTCATAGACAGCGAGCCTATGTCTGCGGAGGAACTCGCAGAAGCGCTGACCCTGCTGGGGCCTCAGGAGGCGCGAGCCTCCCTTGGTTGACCTGTCAAGGGTTCCGTCCCTGACTCAGGACTGCGAGGACGCGGCGCACCGCGTCCTTTGCATTGGCGTCTCAATGGGAGACGCTCCCTCTTCTTCTCTTGGTCTGGTTTTTTCCAAACTCTCCTTCAAAGAAGGACTCTCTTTGTGTATCGCTGTGAGCCTACCTACGCGGCTCACAACGCGACACGGGAGTGCAACGCTGAGACAGCGTCCCTGTCGAGCCCAGACCAACGCTGCGTCGCGCATCGAGTCTCACCGTGAGCCGCAGATCGCGAGCAAGCTCGCGACCTGCTTAACCGCGTCCACTGCGGCCGCGGCTGCAGAAACATCGACGGTCACTCTCCGGTGCGCTTGACGAAGACATCCCACACGCCTGACCCAGCGACGCGCTGACCGATGCCGACTCGATACTTTGGAGTCCACTTCCGACCAGCCAACTGAAGCTCGTCAGTCACCGACTTCACCAAGTCGGCGTCTCGGCCAAACACATAGCGGTGGCTGTCAGCCGCCACGGTCCGGTTGAAGCGAGCCAATGCTTCGGCAGCAATGTCCATCCGCCCGTTCCGCCCTTGGTCTCCGGACATGACAACCGCACAGTTGTGCGTAAGCGGGCAAAGTATCTGCGCGTGAGATGAGCCGTATCCGAGTGGCAGATGGCGCATCGCAGAGCTGGTGGTGGTGAGCACGACCGGCGTGTCGGTGGTCAAGAAGCTCTCCGCGTCTGACCGCGTGTAGAGCACCATCCAATCGCGCAGATGCATCGCTTCCGCGATGACTTTGAACTTCTGCAGAGACTTGCCAAGCGCAAAGCCGTCGTCCACCTCGACGGTATAAGCGTCGTCGCGAACCATTCGCGCAATACGCTTGGCCTTGTCCGTGAGCTCTTCTTCGCTCGCGTCTGGCCCCTCCATCTCCTTCAAGATGCGCAGAGCCCCCTTTTCAGTGGAGAACATGAGCAGGGAACGCGCCTTCGTGAAGCCAGCATGAACCGCTTTGACCTCCAGGATGGCGGCCGGCGTCCGCAAAGCGGCGAGTGCCAGATACGCGGTCAGATACTCGCGGTCCTGCTCACCAATCCGTTCCCGGGCGGCGACCCGCGTGATGATGGGCGCCACCTTGTCCTCGTAGTAGCCGAACATCTTCT